TACACACCTCTAATATATATATATATATATATATATATATATATATATATATACATACATACATACATATACATATTTATATATGTGTGTGTGTGTATATAGGCCTGTCGCAATAATCGATATATCGACTTGTCGCGCAATTTATGTACATGACCTCAATCATTTTTGGTGACGCAATATATCGGCCATTATATTTACTTAAAAATTAATGTCACCATGTTTTGTACATTCCACTTGCGCCTGTGTTTTTTGCAGCTTCTCGTACATAACGTGGTGTAGTCATGATGTGCTAGTTCAAATTTTAAAAATGCTTCTACAAAAAAAGGTTTCATCTGCAGATGTTTTTTTTCTACTTGTTACTTTGCACTTTTTGTTAGAAAATGTTTATTTACTATTTATTCAGGTTTTTTAAGGTATCTAATATTTTGATACTTAATTTCCATGATCTATATATTCTTAAAAATTAAAAGTTTGTTGTCATTTGGAAGTGTGTAGGCCTTCTTGAATTATTATGCTGTTACATTATGATTATATATTCAGTGGCATAAAATGGTCTTTAAAATGACAATAATATCGCTTATCGCAATTATTTCTGGGGCATTATATCGCACAACCAAAAGTTGTTATCGTGACAGGCCTATGTGTGTATATACATACATACATATATCTACTAACTAGCTGTTTTTCATGTTATGTTAATTTTATGTAATAACTATATGACTAACATCTAATAATTCTCTCTCCAAATAACTTGTTGCATTTTTGCCTTAATTACTTAAAAAACTAAAAATAATAGGACACTAATTTGTTTCCTGTTTTTGTGGCCTGTTATAAATGGGTCTGTTTGTGGATTACATAATTATCATACATTCTTCTCTCTCTTTTTTTTTTTTACATAAAGTTCTTACGATTGTGACTTTTTTTCTGGTTGTTTCTGGTGTCACAGTGTCATAGTGGTGGATGGTGCAGTAAAAACAGCCACCAAAGAAGACAGCAAGTCACCTCAGTCTCCACGTGGCAATGGCAGCACTTTATCGCCAGCGCAGCCCATGGCCAGCTCTTCCCCGGCCAACTCCGTAAACGGCAATCGAGACACTCCCCCACCTTTTCTAGTGGAACCGCCCCCTCACCGTCCTCATTCCCCGCTGGGACCCCCAGGACCTTTGGTCCCTTCTGACACCCCACTCACTGTAGGCTCCTACCCCTGCACCAAGAGCTTTCTGGGTATGCGTGCAAGAGAGCTATTCCGCAACAAAAGCGAGAGCCAGTGCGATGAGGATGAAGCCCCGCCTCCGCGTCTCACTGGCCTATCACAGGGCCTGAAAACTGAGCTCTGCGTGGAGCCGACAACGAAGAGTACATCCAGCTCCACTGCTGCGCAGAGCTTCACACTCATCACATCTGCTAAAGAAACCCAACCTGATGCTCAGAGAGCCAAAAACCGAGACACGTTCGGCTCAAGATGCACAGAGAGGCCCAGGCAGCAGCCGTTTAGGATCATGGACTATAACGAAAGTCATCAGGAGCACAGTTAAAGTTATGGAAAAATGGTGAAAGAGAGAGAGGTAGAGGATGGAGAGATGTGCAAATTTAGATTATTAGAGCATAAGGCAAGACTCTTTCAATTTTCAGTGTTATCTGTCCCATTTCCACAAGCCGACAACAGGATTTGGAGCTAATAAATCGGTAAAACCCTCACTAAGATGGGACAAGTGGAAAGAATAGACTAAACCGACATATATAGAAGTGGTCACAAAATGTCTTTTAGTAATCCCACTGCGTTGTTCGCCAGAAATGTCCCCGCTGCATCTTTTATTTGTTGTTTTTTTGCTCATTTATCTGCTCCCTTTAACCAAGTAACTGTTGCAGCACGTGGAAACTTTGCATTTAGGCTGTTAGAAGCAATATAAGTTGATTAATTTGTAGTAATGGTACAGTGCTTACACCCTCACAGCTCACCCGCACAGAGCTGAAGTGTGTGCTTGGATGCCAGGAGGTGGATGGTCGGTTGGATGGTTGTCTTGTGCCAAGCAGGAGTCAGTGTTTCTTTTAAAACCATCAGGTTTAACCTTTCAGACATGTCAGGTGCATTTTCATGTGCTCAAATCATGTTTATCTTTACTATGTTTCTGTGTGTGTGTGTGTGTGTGTGTATGTGTAAAATGTCTGTTTGTGTGTGTATGTATGTTGAAAGTGATGGCCTGTATCCCAGACTTGATTCTGGGTTAAATTGCACTGTAAGTTGTTACTGATTACGGAAAAAATCCGTTACACTCTTGGACTAGACTAAATCTGGATCCGAGAAATGATACAGCCACAACGAGAGGAAGGTTCGACATGTTTTTTATATATTTTTTAATTATTTATTTTTTTGTCCTCTTCTCTTTAGCTTTTCAAGTATTACCAGTGCTTTTAAAAGTTATAAAGCAACGTAAACAAACAACAGCCATAGATTCCTGATCATTACCCACGACTAGTCAAACCTATGAATCCTATCCTTCAGTAATCTCTATAAAACATCGTAAGTAAAATCTAGATGATCTAGTGGCCATTTTGAAGACTTATCCTAATAATAAATAAGTCTAATAAATAAGTCAGTCATAAGTAAAGTAATTCGCTTTGACGATGCAGTCGTCCTTCAGTCTCAAGCTCAGTCATCATATTTGCTCAACACTCAGTAGGTAACTGATAATGGTATGGATGATCTGTCTTTTACCCTCTCACTTTTACGCACTTCAATGGATATTATTACTAAGTTTGCTTTCTCGGTGCCAAATACTCAATAAGACAGTGACAGTATTCTGTAGAGCTTAAATGTACTGGTTTTTGTTCTATTATTCAAGCACATATATTCTTAGACTACCACATATCAGTTTGTGGGGGTAAATATAAGACTTGATTTTGTCGAGCTGAGAGTATGTGGACTGTAGCAATGAGAGCTGTACGATGCCAAGTAGACGGTGTAAAATATCTCCAAATTTCTACAAAATGGCCATGTTGATAGTCAGACGTCATTTAGGAATTGCGGATGGGGTGGTCATACTCAAATTGTTCCCAAATCCTGTTGTCCCCTTGAAGTCTCTGCTTCCTTCTGCCTTGCTATCTAGAGCATGTACAACAATTCTCTTTTAATGCCAACAACAGGAACTATGACTTAACAAGATACAAGGTACAATCAGCGTGGAATGGAAGGAAAGTATGAATTCGAGCTCCTTTGCTGGAGATGAAAGCTCTTGGGTTTGTTTGGGGAGGAAAGGCAGGGTTGGTTGGAAAAGGTTCTTAAAGCAGTTGCTTGTGTTAACTGTGAATGACAAAAATAAAATCGTCTTCAATGTTTTGCACTACAGATTTGGGGTTGTCTTGGTTATTTTCCTTGATTAAGTTGGCTTTGATGTCTGGAATGGAAATGAAACACAATTTGAGGCCTGCAATCTACGCTGGCAAGAAAACATCACTTCCTTGGCTGCCAGCCGTAATTATTTGAAGCTGATTTAAATGGGTAATACTTGTTGACAAACAATAACCATTTGAGTTTTTTTAGGTATATGATAATTATTTCTGCACACTTAAGTCACTTAATATGTATGAATTTCATTCCATTTCAGTTTCAAGCTTTCTATTTTATTTTTTATTTTTCATTAGTTAGAGTTCAATGCAGCATATTAAAATAACATATTATATATAAAGCCTAACAAGCAAAATGCATTTCTTTTTCTTACAGGATTTAGAAGACTTCATATACGAGTTGAGCCACTATTGTCTGTCTTTAGATTTGACATGTTTAGTCACTTA